ATGCAAAGCGTACATTTGGATTTAATTATGCATCATTATAACTTCTGTAAAATACACGTTAAATCACTTTTTTAGCCATTATCGGACATAATACTTGAACATTTTCTTTTGAGCAAAACATCCTTAACGTGTCCGTTTAAAGATGAGTAATCGATTGTCTAGGAAAAATGCCAAGATGATAAGTGATATCTTTTCCATGACGTCAGCTGAAGAAAAAGAAAAGAGTAGCGTGTAATTAGAATGGATATGAAGTTTTTGTGATTCCCTACTTTTTCAAAATAATATTCATCTCCGTAGGCGTTCGTGATATCGTGACGCCATTTTTATTCTTGTATGCTTTAGTAATTTATTAACGAGAAATCCCACTTCAAAGATGAAAATAATGGAAAATAAAAGTACGGTTCGCTTCACGTGAAATGTACTTGGCACGAAACTCTGCCGAGTTTATAAACATTATATGTTCTCCTTTAATGACGAGCAAAATATTCGCAAACAATAATTTGCATATTGCACAATTAATAAAGAATAATTATTCACTATCAGGATTTAAGCTAATGGACTGGGAACTTTGTTGCTGAGTTTCTTGATAACCTTTTTGTGATTTCTTTCACTTCCGTGGTTGATAAATTTCTTTCTGTTGTCTTTGCAGGTTAGGTTGACAGGGGGTCATATGGTGAAGCAGAGGCGGTTTATCGGTAACACCAACAACAAGATGATCAATATACGGGAACACTTGTAGAGAAAAAGACCGAGGCAAGAAACCCGGTTACCGAAAGCCCATTGTTAGTGGGAAAAGCTCTGCCCGTGGAAGAAGGCAGAAAATCTAGGAGAAAAAGGGGACAAGTTCGGCCTTTTCCGGACTCCTCGAGTCCTCATTTCTCTGATCCTTTCTTTTCAGCAACCTATGTGCAGGGAAGGAGGAAACAGTGAAGTGGAAAGAGGATAGAAAGAGAGAGAAGGAGGCGGGTCCGATGAGGAATCCGCGGTGATTTCCTGTGATCTCTGTTGCACTGAGATGCGATGCTGCGGATATTCTTTTCTTCGAAATAGGTGAATATACAGTTCTATTTAACATTTGCAACCCCGTAAACAAAAGTCCTCATTTTAAGCCCATATTCCATTTTTAGGGCAGAAATCTTCAAGGCGATGGAATTAAATCAGAGATGCATTTATTACCCTTGCTGAATAATTCTACGTTTCATATTTTCATTTATAAAGTTTGAAAAGAGGGGCAGGTCATACAAGCTGAGAGTATTTCATTCAATGTATGAAAATAAATTTTTAAATCTCAGCCTATACAGGGCGAGGCAAATAATTATTTAATTGTTAGGGCGGAAATCGTCAAGCCGATGCATCGAAGCCAGAAATGCATTTATCGGGTTTGCTGGGAAATCTTATATTCCATATTTTCATTTATAAAATTTGAAAATGCATTTACCGAGTTGTTTGTCGTAATTATTTATAGATGGTCACTTCTTTTTATTTTTTTAATTAATTTTTCATCTTGCTAAATTGCGCGTCAGAGGTGATTAGAATTCAGGTTGTCTCGTTGGCATCTTCTAAGTCGGAAAGTATGTATGCCCTTGTAATAAGCATTCGCTACGATGCATCTCCCGTAGAAAGAGACCAAGAGGAAAATGGCGCGGTGATTAATTACCGCAAATCGCGACAACCTCATGGTAATTACTCTTCTAATTGCGATAAGTCGCGCCGCGCATTGCATAATTAATCCACGCCAAGGAGGTTGTCGCAATTTTGCCGCGAGTGGACGAAAAATATCCGATTAATATGAAATACCTCTTCGGGAGGTACCGAGGAAAAGATTTCATCGAGCCGAAGAAATAATTCTTTGAATTAGTGGCTAAGAAATATTTCGAAAATTCAAGGAATAATTATTTGGCTCAAGTAAACTCGAATTAATTGGACGAAACATTTCCTCGGAATTATGAACATTTATTTCAGTTCATTCGGGCACAATAATAATATTCCTTCGGAGGAAGGAAATATTTCTTTGGTTGTGGGAATATTTATTTTTTGTTTTCTGAGTATTCAAAATGGCCGCCTCAAGTGTTATGCGATTGATAAATCGCAAATACGGCCGCGACAGAGAAAGCGGTGAAAGCCGACTTTGCTTGCGCAACTTTTCCTTTTTCTTTTCCTCTTATCTTTGAATTCCTAGCCGTGGATTTAGTTTCCTTCTCGATCTATGGTGATCGCTTTGGTTTTTAGTTTCAGGTGCTCTACTTAGGTGGAATTTCGAGTGTCCGAGAGACAGGGAGAAAGCCAAAGGGAACGAGTGATATTTTTCAGTATTCATTTTATTCGTCTTTAAAAAGCCCACCAGAAGGAAGAAGGGATCGTTCTCGAATTTGAGCCGATATTTTCCTTTTTTACTTGCGGCCGCAAAATGGACGCCGAGTAGAGACGAGGAGGAGCTATCGTTGCGAACATTTTCCCGTCCTTGTGCCAGCCCGGCAGAATTTCTTCAACATGGTGAGTGCATTTTCGAGTTGCATATTTTATCTCTTAAGTGCGCCGGGCTCGATTTCGGAAAAGTTCGGAAATTGATTTGAGACTTCCGACTTTTTCCGGCCTCGGAGGTTAAACCGACCGCGGAAACGCCGCGCGGGGAAATGGCTGCAATCTGGGAAAGATAATTTCATTTTAACAAAATTCCATCGACTCATCAGAAATCAAATCTTTTGCGGTTTACTTCCTCGATTCACCTTTTGCGGTTTTACCCAATTTTATGTTTGTAATTGTTGCAAATAAAGGTTAGAGACGCAAGAAGTCTTAAAGTTGCCGAAAGTGCTATTTGGTGGGATTGGGTTTTGAAAAGAAAGTCTCATTTTTAAAAATTCCACCGATTCATCAGAAATCAAATCTTTTGCGGTTAACTTCCTCGATTCACCTTTGGCGGTTTTACCCAATTTTATGTCCGTAATTGTTATAAATAAAGGTTAGAGACGCAATAAGTCTCAAACTTGCCGAAAGTGCTATTTGGTGAAATTGGCTTTTGAAAAGAAAATCTCATTTTTAAAAATTCCACCGATTCATCAGAAAATCAAATCTTTTGCGGTTAACTTCCTCGATTCACCTTTTGCGGTTTTACCCAATTTTATGTTCATAATTGTTGCAAAGAAAGGTTAGAGACGTAATAAGTCTCAAACTTGCCGAAAGTGCTATTTGGTGGGATTGGCTTTTGTAAAGAAAATCTCATTTTTAAAAATTCCACCGATTCGTCAGAAATCAAATCTTTTGCGGTTTATTTCCTCAATTCACCTTTTGTGGTTTTGGCCAATTTTATGTTCGTAATTGTTGCAAAGAGAGGTTAAAGACACAATAAGTCACGAAGTTACCGAAAGTGCCGTTTGGATGGGATTGGATTTTCGCGCCTCGATTTGGTCGCCATTTTGAATGTATTCCTGAAAATAGCGAATACATTTGACTAGTGAGTTGTAACTTGGAATTGTCGGGTCGCAAGTCCGTCATTCCGCGTCCGCGGCCCGTGACGAGCGGAATTTTCCGTCGTCCTCCATAACGGAATACGCTCGCCTCGGCGAGAGCTCGGTGGATTTTTTTCGGACAGGCTATTTGCTTTTCGCTCGAGTACTTGTCGCAAGGCTCGGTACTTGTATTCATACTCTGATACGTTAACCTAATCTTTGTATATTTACCGACACGAGCACTAAACCCCATCCACGGGGAAAATTTAAACATTAAATAGACTCCTCGGGAAATACTCTCACTCCGAAAACAAACCATTGTTCAAATATAAAATTAAGAGCAATTAATGTCATCCCAGAAATTCCAAATTCTTCTTTCAATCAGATTTTCCAATTGTATGATCGATATTTTAATGTTTACTGTAAAACTGATATTTACCACTGTAAAACTGATATTTACCAATACGTTACCTCCGAAAACATACCATCGTTCAAATATAAAATTAAGAGCAATTAATGTCATCCCAGAAATTCCAAATTCTCCTATCAATCAGATTCTCCAATTGTATGATCGATATTTTAATGTTTACTGTAAAACTGATATTTACCACTCTCAACGATTATTAAATTAATTTTCTACTACATTCACCTAGTCTAAAAAAATGTATTCACGAAACGGTGAAGTTTATTGCATTTTAGGGCCGGTTGGTATTTATTGTAAAATTCGTATTTACTTTCTGTTGCGTTCATATAACCTAAAAGAAGTACATTGAATAAACCTTCGGTAAAAATCCCTCACGTGGTTAGTTTTGTGTGGTGAAATTTAGTCCTTTTCAAGGCCCGTTTACACGGCCAACGTTTTTTATGACTTTTTAAGGTGAAGTGAAACACATCGAGGAACTTGATCGACGTCGATAAAGAAAATTTTTCTAAATGCCTACGTTGCCGACGTTGGTTTTTATATTGACAGCTGGGTCGAATTATATTGGGTATTGTACCAAATGGCATATTCCACCTGTCGTTTTCGTACAATAATTATAAAGAAATCGAAGTAAAACTCCAGAAATCCTCTGGATTCGTGCCTTCTGGGGCCCTAATTGACTGCAGAGGGACCCCCTGCGCCATCTGCGATTTCCAAGTCAATTAAATTTTCACTCCGAGACCTCGTATTCCCATCGTTTTAGCAAAGAAGCGCATACAACACTTTTTTTGCCTTTATTCCGTTCAAATTCGGGTTTATCGATTACCAGAGTGTTCTAAATTGTCGTAAAATTGTCGTGACCTTGAAAAAAAGTATTGTATTCGAATCGACTGATTTGAAGGGGGTTTCACTTCACCTTAAGAGGGACCCAAGATCCAGGGCGACAGATTTTCCGCATGCGGCACTGCGGGAGGTTCAGGGCTGAGCTGACCCACCGGTTTAATTTTAGCGGACGCGAAAGACTTCGGACTTCCAGCGCCGCTCGTTAAACTCGTACTTATCTCAATTGTCCACGTTAGGAGACACTTGCCGTGTCCATAATTAAGATCGATAGAAAGGGGAGATGTTAATACCTCTTACAGTTCGTCCTAGGATACCCGGGAGATCTGAAGAAGAAATCTTCCCTCCCTGGGAGACGGGATTTCCACTTTGCGATCGCAGCGCCGCCCGAGGCGAACTGCGGCGGAATCGTAAACTCTCTCATCTCGCATGCGTGATTTCGAGAAGCGATTCTCCAACGCCGACGCTTGGCTCCTTTTAACGGGATTATAACGTCTCCTCTCATTAATATTTAGCACTAATAACAATCGACCAATATTCCCGGAAACGACCTCGTTAAGTCTACCAAACGAGCGCCATTGTTGATAGGACGCGGGGCTAAATATCCGAGTCGAATTTCCTCCCCAACTTTCGACTCCTTAGACTTGCCTCGTGAAATTTGACAAATTCCCGGATTCCTCTTGTACTCTGCATGCCATTCCAAAATGTCAGGAACGTCGAGGAAACGCGAAGAGGGAATAAATGAGGATGAGGACGTAAAATTAATATCACTTGATTAAGATTGAGGAAATTAGACTTTTTTTTTTCTGGAATTTCATTTCCGAGAAATTTTGTGATCCTCGATTTTAATTCATGGATCCAGTTCACATGAAATAAAATTATTTCTTGATTAAGATTGAAAAAATTAGATATTTTTTTTTCTGGAATTTCATTTCCGAGAAATTTTGTGATCCTCGATTTTAATTCATGGATCCAGTTCACATGAAATAAAATGAATATTTCTTGATTAAGATTGAGAAAATTAGACATTTTTGAGACTATATGCAATACATGCCGCGGCCATTCAAATTCCTTCCTCCGTCCTCTCGTGAATAATTTGCATGCCGCAAACTTATCGTTAAACGTCACACGATACCAAAACAGGAAAGGAATTGTATATCAAACAGTGGTGACGAATCCCCGACAAAAGAATGATTCGAATGAGTGACATCACTCCAACAGCTGAGACAGTGCAAGCATAAAAACTGCACAGTACATGAAATGCAGCAAACGCATTCATTCCTAACCTCTGTACCGAAAAGATTCTACAGAATATATTTTTAATTATTAGTATAGAATGGAAAATCCAATTTACACATCGTATCTTATATATTTCTATACTGCCATTCTCACATATTGTCCAATTCAGTATTTATTTAAACGTTATTTTTTTCACACATGATCCTGAAATTGAAGGAGGTATAAAATGAGGTAAATTAACACGTAAACGATTACTTCTTAATTTTTTAATTTTATTTCCATGTCTCATACAAATCTTTCATAATTTACTATTTATTTCCATGTAGAATTCCTTTGCGTCAGATATGTGGACGTTCCTTTTGAGATAACGAGAAGTTAGGTTATGTAAAGCGTCTGCTTAGTGCATTAAACGATGCAGGGGGCCGGCGAATGCGACTGTTCGTATCTCTCTCTATCTCTCTCTCTCTCTCTCTCAACTTTATCGTGTCATTGGTACGTCGGTACACGTGGTGTTTCTTCTTGCAGTTGTATCGAGCCCGAAATAAATTCAGCGCCGAGACGCTCCGCGGGGTTTCTTGCTAAGGCCGGAAGTTGTCGCTGTATGCGCGCATGCGTGAGCGAGAAAGAGGGATTCTCGGATGGTAACAGCTGCTCCTCACCCGACAAGCAACGGCCCTGTCTTTACCGAGAAAAGAGATCTATATCACTTGGGGAATAACTTTTGCAATACGTGACAAACTTCATCTCCCCATCCTCCCCGTCCTCCGGAGAAATGGGAGATAGACACAGTTGTCATAGGCGAGATTCAAGAATTTTTTTTTCACAACTAAAATGCATTTTTTTTTCAATTCGAAAAGAGAATGATTTCGTAGTACAATTATTGAACTTAATATATCATTTTATTCTTTTCTTTTTCAAGGTATATTAATAAAATTGGCGAGGTACAGCATTCTCTGAAAGTTCTTTTTTTTTTAGGTGAGCACGAAATCTGAAAAAGTATTTCACCGATCGGTTTCGGGTTTTTGAGGAAAATGTTTTAACTTAGCTCAGACCCGAACCGAAATGCTATCAGACTCTCATATTTCAATCGATATCCAATTATTGAGGGCTCTGATATTATAAACGGAAGGGTCAGGACAATTGTACGACAATTTAAAACACTCTGGTAATCCAGAAACTCGCATAAAGGCAAAAAGAACGATCTTTGCTCTTCTATGCTAAACCGATGGTAATACGAGATGTAGGAGCGAAGATTTAGTTGACATGGAAATCACAGATGGCGCAGGGGGTCCCTCTGCAGTCAATTAGGGCCTCCGAAAGCATGAATCCAGGGGGATTTCGGGAGTTCTACTTGGACTTTTTAATAATTATTATACAGAAAATAATTATTGTATAGAAAAGGACAGGTGGAGTATGCCATTTGGTACAGTACTCATAATCTCATCGACGTAGACTCTGCGTTTTAACGGAATGCGTTCGTCCATGTACAAGGGCCGTATAATTACCCACGGGAGGTGGCGTCCCGACGCCTGGACGCCTCTCGGTGCTTGTTGACGATTTCCATCGCTGATCGATCGATCCGGTTTATTTATAGTGCGACATTCGACCTCCGTCGACTCGTCGCTACGTACTATGATCGTCTTTCAACTAGAGTCAAACGAAATTAACCGCTACAGTGATACCTAGACCGACACGACTCCTGTCACTTGGACTCGATCTCTGCCAATCGATGTCAATCGTCATCCAATCGCAGGAAGTGTCATGATTCCATCGAATGCACCCGATCGTTAATTCCATCTCTCTGATAGAAGCGATCCGTCCAATGGCGGCCATTTTGTTTCTTCGCCATCTCCCCAGGTGTCTCTTCCGTCTTGGCAGACCCTCGCTTTTCCATCCTCGGCAATATAAATAAACGAATTGCTAAAGGAAACCAGTTGAACAATTTTAAATGCATTATTTTAAGGTGAAGTGAAATACGTCGAGGAACTTGATCGACGTCGATAAAGAAGATTTTTCTAAATGCCTACGTTGAGGACGTTGGATTTTATATTGACAGCTGGGTCGAATTATATTGTGTATTGTACCAAGTGGCATATTCCACCTGTCGTTTTCGTACAATAATTATAAAGAAATCGAAGTAAAACTCCAGAAATCCTCTGGATTCGTGCTTTCTGAGGCCCTAATTGACTGCGGAGGGACCCCCTGCGCCATCTGTGATTTCCAGGTCAATTAAATTTTCACTCCGAGACCTCGTATTACCATCGTTTTAGCAAAGAAGCGCATACAACACTTTTTTTGCCTTTATCCCGTTCAAATGCGAGTTTATCGATTACCAGAGTGTTCTAAATTCTCGTAAAATTGTCCTGACCCTTTCGATTCTCATATCAGAGCCTTCGATAATTGTATATTGATCGAAATATGAGAGCTCGACGCCATTTTGGTTCTGGTCTGGAATGAGTTAAAAAATTCTTTTGAAAAATCCAAATTTTCGATGTGTCAGGACAATTCTTGGATGATCAGGAGGGATGTGTCAAAGTTTCGGACAGTTTGGTCTAATACCATTAAAAAAAAGTGTTGTATTCGAATCGACTGATTTGAAGGATGTTTCACTTCACGTTAACCTACCTTTCCCTGGGATTTCCTCCTTCTTGGCTGTATCGCGAAATTCCCTCGCGATGTTTACTTTCGATTTTGAGGTTAAGTTAAATAATCAGTAGCCTTTCAATTAGCTTCATTTTATCATCCGGTATATAATCTCGTCACTTAAAGTCTTCCACTTGGAGTAGTCTTCCCGAGGTCGTTAAAGTCGAGCGGAATTTCGATTTCGAGGTTAGGTTCATCCTTCGACGAGCTCGGCCATGAAAGTGCTCACCAAGTGGCCGAGCATTTGCGAAATGGCGTCGGCGAGTGTGAAAATGCACTTTTGCGGAAATACAGAGGGGGGCGATGAAATTCGCAAAATAGAACGATAATTTGAGGGGGGGGGGGGGGCTTAATGGACAGGGGGAAAAAGTTTATCGAGAACGGCGCTGCGTGCGATCGGTCAATATGGGACCTCCTCCTAGAGGGGGCGCGCATTTCACGTATGAAATGGAATTAATCAAATAAAAACCACACCGGCGGATGAGCTCGCCGTAAATTGAAATGGCGGAACCCGATGAATGACGAGTTGCTTGGATTAAAATTTCCCCTCGGGGAGCATTTGCGGTTGCGACCTTTTTTTCTTTCTTTTTTTGTCGTAGCCGTTAATATTTAACGTTTGATCATCTCGGTTAACGGTCGGGTTTTCAGAACCGGCGAGAAAAATTGCGAGTTAAAATTAATTTCGAAAGTGTTGAGCAGAAAATCCGTAAAATGTTCGGCATGAAAATGTCACTTTATGACGTATGAATATTGAGAAATGTCGATTACCAAGTATTGTCATTGTTACAGGGAAATGTTCAAATGTTATGGATGAATACCATTTACCTTTGTTTTTTCTTTGTTATTTTTTATGCAGATGTCCTGTGGGAGGTATTCTTTACCGAAGTGGATTACTTTCGAGGTTAGGTTACGACTTGACCAATTCTAGCGTTCGGCGATAAGTCGTTATCGTTAGTTTCCCCGTGTATCGGATAGGTGGCACCACCTTCCGGCTCTGCGTGTCGTTATCACGCTCCCTGTTATCGCGGTGGCTCGTTTCGGGGGGAAAATCGGCCAATCGTTAACTTGGGACTCAGTACTTTGGTGACATCTCGTCAAATCTTGTTTATGACCCCGCGGCCGCTACTTCGGCGCCCGTTAAAGACTTTCGCCATTTGCCAGGTCGCGTTTATGAGAGAAGAAGAACGACCCGATCGCTTTGCCGATAAAGTAGGTCGCGCGAAACATTTTTACCGCGATCGAAAATGAAACTAATTAATTTTACCCTGTATGCCCACGACCGCTAATGAATTTACAAGCTGACGTCATTTTGTACACTTTTATAACATTGTAATAAAATGTTATAAATTGTATATAACATTGTAATAAAATGTTATAAATTGTGTATAACATTGTAATAAAATGTTGTAGCCTCGTCATACCGGCGAAAAGAAAGCGTTATTTAAATTCCTAGATATTACAATTTTTGATAAATAAATACGTTCATTCACGTGTAAACGGAATGGAAAATGTAATGCACTTTTGGAAACCTCCGCATATCCGTGCTAATAAAAAACCGCTTTTATGGCAGCTCCGCCATATTTGCCGCAACTGAGTTAACGCGAACGATCGCGGAAAGCGTGAAAGTGACCTTAAAAAAAGAAATGAAGCGATATGAAATCCCGAGTTATCGCGAAAGAAGGCTTCCGTTTTCCCGATGATAAGCCGTTTATAAATGCAATGATCCCCGTTACGAGTAATCCCCTGGTAGTCATCCTTAACTAATGAAACTCAGGGAAGCACTGATTGCAGTATTTACGGTTAAACTTTGTGCAGTCACTTGCAGGGTACTAAAAATACGTCCCGGAACGATTACATTATCAACGATCAAAATTGGCCACTGATAAGGCGCCACTTCGCGGCCTTATGGTAGTATCAGTATTAGTCACTCCGGGTGATTAGTTTACTATGATACGAGTGAATTATAGTAAATCCCCGCGAATTCCGCTTCGTAATATCGTCGAGCTTAAAATCTGAATTTCTTTTGAAAATCCTTCAAATTAAAGAACGACACGTTATCGGATAGATTACTTCTTCGATATAATTTCTTGCAATTAACTTACACACTATATGGAACTTATAGTATGAATTATTTACAGGGCGTAATAACGAATATTGTACAGTGCGACATTTTCGATGAATATTCGTTATTATACCTGGCGTATAATTACATTATTGTACAATCAAGAGTATAACGCATCGTTTTTTAAGTTACTTTAATTTTTACATATTTCTAGGCTCCTGCGATGGTTTTTGAGGGGGTAATTATAAGACCGGAAAAACTCAGGGAAATTGTCCCTTGTTTTATTCTTGTGGTGTACAATGGTCGCGGTGTAAACAATGTATAAATGCGTGCGGCGGGATTGTTTGATCGGTCAATCCGACTGTTGCGGGATGACAAGTGGGAATGTAGAGGTTATGTCGGCGCTCCGTCTCGTTTGCGAGCCTCCAGGCCACTGCCCGATTTAGAGCGAACTGCACTCCGCATCGCGCGTTGTCGCGCCGCCTATATTGCGAATCCTTGCTTAATATTGACCCCGATGCCAAATATTTGACCCAGGCCTGTAACTAGTCTCCTGGCTCCCTGCTTCTTACTCGAGCGTACCCCGAAACTAAGGGAAATATTATTTACCTGCGATTTAATTAACGAAATAATCGAGTAAACTGTTAATCGGAGTCTTCAATTCCGCTAAATGCATCCTACACTTGACGATCCTATTTTCAGTGAATTTTATTGGCCCGAATTTTTATTGCTAGTTTCCAAGTGACACGTATAAAAATTCCAACTTAATTTCGGGGGGCGGTGTTGAAAATTTACCTTTTCACCTTTTCGAGCGAGGGTGGCCGTGAAAGCCTTTATCGACACCTCGCTCGTGACCAACTCGAATCTGGTGGGATTAATGGAGATTTTTTGGGGGAGGAAAAAAAAGATAGAAAAATAAAAAATGTGGAAAAGCACGGAAGTCCCGGTTTTTCCTACCGTTCGAGAGCGCGCTTAATGAAAACAGTCCCTTTTATCTGCGGCGAGCAAACGTAATATCTGCGAAAAATCCCCGGGAGTGGCGAACACAATAAAAAAGAGGAAAGGAAAAGGAAATCCCAGATTTCGAGCCACCGGGTATGTCGTAATCATCGGGGAAGGATTCGCGCTCGGTGGTCGCTGATAAGCAGAACAAACTGATATGGACGATTACGCGGCTCGAGTGTTTCTACGGAGTTTGTGGACGCGATCGATCATGAACAACAAATTAGGCTATGTATATTATGATCATCATATATCATGAACAACAAATTAGGCCATGTATATTAAATGCACGGATAAACAATGGCATTATTTCAATATTTTCCAAGATTACTTAGGAAGCTTTGGTACTTATTCTTGAATCTACGAGGATGAAACTGTATCGACTTATGGATCTATTGTTTATTGCGAGTGATTCCATCGGTTTACAAAACAGTGTTTTATCGCCGAGTGATAAGGCCACAATACTCTAGTTCGGATATCACAATATTTATTTATAGACAATGCCATTTCTTAAGATCCGAAGGTTCATTTAGGGGAGGGAAATTGTTATTTTATGTATTGTTTGTACGGTATAGTTAGATCGCGATTACGCGTAACTCCGTCAGTTTGCGAAAGAGAATTTTATCACCGATTGATAAGGCCACAATAGTGTGGTTGGGATATAACGGGAGAGTTTTCGAGAAATCTCGACAATGGCGACCTTCCTCCTTTTTTCCCGGAATATCGGTGAATAATCGACACTTCTAGAAATAAACAATGCGGGGAAAAAGTGTCTCCGCGATTGCGGCATCTTCACGACGGGATGATATTTCCAGGTGATAATCGGTTTCGACACGGGGAAAGAAGTGCCTTCATTGTTTCTTTTAGAGTTCATTTGGTTGCTTTTTCTTTTTTTCTTTCTTCCACTCTAGGGGCGATGGAATTAACAAAATGGCGACGGGGAAAGGGGCCCTCGGTGTTGTCTCGCTTTTCCGGGGAACCGCCCTCTTGTATCGGGAACGTCTGTCGTTCTATTTACCCACAATCACCCGAGGAACTGTGCTTTTCTCTCGGGAAAAGTCCTCGTCCCTCTCCTTTAACTGTCTGAACTTTTTGACAAGAACGCCCGACGATCGAGCGACGAAGAAAAGACGGCTTTGCGGCCGATTCTAAGAGAGAGGGTTCGTCCTTAAATAAAGGAAAAGTATTAAGAGAAATAGAAGAAAAGTGAAAATCGTTAAGCTTTGACTATTCAAGATTTATTTTGAAAAATTTGCCGAACCTCGCTGAAA